TGTTAAACATCTTCTAACAATACACTGTGTATTGTGGTAGGTACCTAACAACTGTGTATTTAAATTCAATTTCATTTTCAATAAATTCAATAAAACCAATAAAATAATTTCAATAAATTCATTTAACTAAATGTCAATCTCAAGTTTACAAATCAAAAAGTAAACTAATTAAAAAAAACAAAAAAAACACAGTGTATTGTTAGAAGGTGTTCAACAATACACAGTGTATTGTTGAAAGCTCGCTAACAATACACAGTGTATTGTCAAATGCCTAAACATACAACACACTGTGTATTGTTAGTTACCAGGATTATTTGATATATATATATATATCATGATGATATGTATATATATATGTTATATGATATATATAGTCGAATGATTGACATTAGAGGCTAAAAGGTGTGCGTAAAAGTCACGATCATGTTTCAGTTGTATTGATCTATTACTGCGGATGTTCGAGTCTCATGAAATTGTATACCCCCATGACAAATAAGATACCACACTATCCGCTTCCTATGTTCGGCGGGTGGGAGAGGGTGCAAAATGCCGTTAGGTTATACGTCCGAGATCCCGAATGTTGTGTTTCCGGTTCGCCAACGGTAAGAGATATATCGACGGTAGGGATAGTTATTATTATTATTATTAAATCTTTATTGCATGTAATTAAAATACAAATACATGTACGGAAAACAGCCCTTTTCATGGAGAAAAATCGGATAGATGCAATAGTGTTGATAGATGGGGAGAAAGTGGAGTCAGCAGAGGGAGCAGAAGGTGAGGGAGTTAGATGAGGGGAGGAACAGCTGAGTCGTGACAAGTTGTTAAACAGAAATGCCTCGACGTCTGCACGCGTCGCGTTGCGATCTATGTTGCCCTTGTGTCACTATTGCCCGCGGTCACACTTGCCATGTGGGTCGCATTTCCATAGGACGCGCTCATGACACGCGGCGATAGTTGGTCACTGCGTTCTATTTCCCTGCAGCTAAAGGACTCAGACCTACGGCGGCTGCATCTGTTTATGTGAGGGTGCTTTGCGATAGTAGATGGTGTCCATAGGCAGCAGGCCTGCTGAATAAGTGTGTCACAAAAACTAATTAAAAATACTCCGATTTTTGTAATATATGCTCTTTATTCGTGCTAAATAACACACAGTGTGATGATTCGCCGTTATCCTCCGAGAATAATCCCACTGTGCGGAGTGTAGCTAAATAACCACAGAAGCAAGGACCAGGTTCAGCTCGAAAAATTACTAGCTAATTGTATATAATGTGTGTATGATGCACATTTCCAGTAAGTAGTTGGATTCCGATTCATACACAAAAACGACGGACCGGTCACCATGGGTACGTCAGAATGGTACAATACCACGACAAGACCCATGTTACTTTTCATGCTTTCTAGACGGAAGTAGCGCATCTACCTTACGTGTATAATGCAGATTAGTGCACTCTAGTGCCGCATATTACCACAAAGAAGTTCAGAAAAAGGCCTTAATTCTTCAGAATTAAAGTAGTGCAATGTGTAGTTGCAGTGAACAGTTGGCGGAAGGTTACCGTCGCGTAATCCCTGAAAGTTTTCATCGTGATAAGATGGCATCACTTGTATGAAGAGACGCACGAATAAATCCTTACGTCGAGGTTAATGAATAAGAACACAGTCACTGTGTGCATACGTGGAAAATGCGAAGACGAAACACACATTTTACTTAGGAAGCCTAGAAATAAATGAAATTCCAATTATTCGATTTGATCAAGCGCTTATAATACCTATAGGTATTATAAGCTCTTGATATGATACACGTTTATGGGCTACAGCATGATCTCGAGCCATCTATCAGCTTCTGTAGTTCGGCCCGTTCTTATAATAATTTATCGCCCTTTTATTCACTGCTTAAATAAAAAAAATTCTACAACTAGAAATTATAAAACGACTATATTACATATACTGTAATTAGATATACTAATGACAGGAATATATGGTAAAAACAAGTGAACAGACTAAATATGATATATATGGAGGTTACATTTAATAATTAATTAAATAAAATTCTGAAGGCTCTTTACCCGCGAACCAGAAGAAGAATGGCGATGCGGTTGGTGATATGGTTGTGGATAAACAGATAGAACACGGAATATCATATGTGGACAAGTAAATAATTTGCATGTAGGCCTATTTACATTTACAAAATGTTTGTATTATCCATTGCAGACTGTTCGACATCACATCCTAGATGAAGCTGAGGATTTTCCAGCATCCGTACCGACTAGTGAGAACAGTAAATCCGCACACAAACACGCCAATAGAAAGAAAAGAGATGTTTCGTGGGCTGACGAGGTAGATATCAGCTTTAATGTGCGTGCTGGGGTGCTACATATTTATGCGTTCTCTCTTTAAATAAGCACCACCAACTAATAAATTTTCACTACCTATCTGATTATATCAAAAGTACATTAACAAATGCGTGTATTGTTATTATGCTGCGGATCATATCTATGAACTATGATTGGCTTCTGTTCGTAATTACGGTTTAAAATATTATTACTTGTGCTGTCGTAAATACAGTGTTCATTACGTATACCACATACAAGACAAATGGCGCCATCTATACACATAGGTAATGCGAATCTCTATCCGTCACGTGATTTAGTTTGATTAAATCAAGGAAAACGAAGGTAATCGGGTAAATAGATCTGTTTCCGAGACGCCAGTCATTGCTCATACGCAAATAAAATGCACAGAGCCATGAGAATGAGACAGAGCGCTGATGCAAAAGTACTAAGAGCTATGTAATGAAGTAAATGTGCTGTTGATGTGTTCACGCAGGTATGTGTTGGTGATTCAATCTAACCTAGATTAATACATGGTGCATTTACTGTATGACTCGGATGTGGTGACAGTGCATAGTGGCTGGGTTATCCGTTGATCAAACGCTTCTATATGAAAACCCGCACATTTGAAAACACCTTGGTGCCTCAGCGGATTAAATCTCAGCCACTATAACATACAACATTTAATTGTTGTCAACAAACAAACTCTGTGAAGAAGCGTAGTTATGATAATAAACTATTCATCGCTTTTTTATAGGTAATCTTGTGCGCTGTTCAAGTCACGGGTGACAACAAATGGGAAACTTATCTAACACCTGCGGATCACGAATCAATCAAGATGTCAGCTTATAAGCACATCAACGCTGCAAGGTAAGACATTTTACCGATTGCCGGAAGATACAAACACTCAGCCCTTTATTTTAATCATACTATCGTTGTTATATCTCGCGCACACTAGTTGTGTGTTACATTCAGATGCTACGGCTGTGCAAATATGCTCGCAAATGTTTAGTTAATATATATTTCAGAGTGACAACGTTAACTGTGAGTAAAAATGTAGTTAAAACTGTCACTAAATTCGGTCATTATTACTCTACGCGGCCATCCACTCAACCACCCCACGTTACAGTGATAAATAAACCTGGATGATATACCCTGTGCATCAAAGGATATAATCTCGCGATTTTCTCCGAATAGAGAGAGGATACTGAACCGCTCGAGTTTCCGCTAGCCGCCTTTCTCACTTCCTCTACCAGTAACGTAATATGAAATACAGGTAGGAACAACCACGGGTTTACCGCAACGTCATCATGCGCGTTCCCGATGGAAATAATTGAAATTTTCTTGTTATCAGAAGCACGCTGATGCCTCGCGAGACAGTCCACACTCTGCTATACAACGACCACGATGAGGCTCTCAGCGACTGCGCACCATCCGTCGTAAGACTCCGTGTGCCGATCGACATCAACGAAGATCGCATGCTAGACAGATCCGACTCCGGAAAATCGACCGACAGCGGTTTCGCAGACGCCACCAGAAATCTCAGCACGTCCGACGATGAGAGCGGAGAGACGACGGCGAGGCTGGACGACGGTCGCTCGTCGTCGCGCGTGAAGGGCGAACCCGAGATCGTCATCTTCACCGACGAGTCTTCGCCGCCGACGACGACGAGTCGTAAGATGAAAATCTTTCAATCTCTGTCGAACATCCCGCTTTGGAAGAAGAAGACGCAGAACAATCCCGCGATGAACGATGACTCGAAGCTGATTCCTCCTCCTCCGATGATAGTGACGACTAGCAGTGATGAGATATTCAAACCGACCTTGAGCAAGCTAACGCAGCAGATACATCCCAACATGCAATCGAACATCAAAATGTGCAAATCGACGACGGACATTGGCAAGGTCGACTCGCTCGATCCGAGAGCACTCTTCAAGAATGCCTCCACGGGATCTCTCGTCGATGTGTCTCCAAACTCTTCTACAAACACACTGTGTGGTGCGGAGAAGCCACCGAGACCACACTCGCCGAAGCCTCCTAAGTCACCGCGTTGCTCGCGGTCTGTTAGCAACAGCAGTACTGAGAGCAACACGCAGGTTCGTTAATAGCACAAATATTATCATATTTATGTATATAATATAATAATTATAAAAGCACAATGAGTTTGAAACACGGTACAAATATACCCGTGTAAGATGGCATCGGCTTCTTTGAAGTCCAGTTGAAATTTAAGCAGTGTCAAACCACGTAATCATTTCCTATGTTGTAATTCGTTAATGTTGGTCATGTCATTGGTCTAGTCATCCACGCACGCTGACGTGCGCACCTTTGGGTTTGCTCACACTCTTTTTGATGGTGGTCTGTACTTCGACTCTGGTGGCTTATCGACTTACGTTTTATTTGCTTTGGTGATGGGCTGCATATACGTTATATACCCCGCTATCTAATCCGAATCTAGATTTTAGAACGCCGAAGCATATCGTCAAGAATGATTGGCAGTTTAGACACCGTAGAAGGTAGTCAACTCCCGTTTGCCGTTTTACTTGGGGATGGTAGAATTTGATATGTCCTTGTATTGCGAACCTTCTCATAACCTCTGGCTTTGTGTTCCTTGTGGTAGTTGCATTAGGAGTAGTTAGTTTATTTCGCCAAGGTGATGGTATTATTCGTCTTTTCAAAAAGGTTCTTTATCGCTGATTACTCTGCCTTGATGTTGACATCATGCCCCAACATGTGTCTCCCTCTTACAAAACTTCGCTGGATACAGCATCTTAGAAAATGTCCACTCCTCGTATTTAATCGATCTAGTAAGCATCCATGCAGCATCTGTTTGTTAATTATCACGGTAAACTCCCACGTATACCACATCGGACACATGTCAGTAACCAGTCTGTTAATGACCACGCAGTTATGTAATAAGAATAAAGAAATAATAAGGGCTAATGAAATAAGAATGCCGTGTTTGCTCCTCAGTCGACGTCCCTCCGAGCAAAGCTCACCTATGTGCGTGACCGGGTCAAGCTACAGAGGCGCCCCCATGTGCGCAACCGGCCAACGTCGGACACGAGCAACCACGATATCTCTCAGTTTCGCTACCTGAGAGGGAAATACGCACAGGCTCGCTCGCGCAGAGCATACTCCGATCTTGGCGATCACCTGTCAATCACGCAGGCTCTTAATTGTCACGCCACGGCCCATAAGGAAAGTAACGGATGTTCAATAGAGTCACTAACATTCATGAATATTTGCGATGAATGCAGAAAGGATTGCTAATACTTAGTCAATCTATAGCTGCGTAGGGCCGTTGGGAAAATACTGGCATAGCCGGGGCGATGGTAAAGTTATTACAGATGGGTGGCATGCTAGTATACCTACTTATGTACGTCGACCAATAGATTGAGGATGGGTCGTGCGAGCAGGTGTCACGCACAATACGTTTCATTGTAAATTCGGTCGTGAAATTGCAAAGTGGGCGTTCACGAACTGCCACATTGTAAGTCCAGGGCAAAGACATGAATATACAAACGCTGAGCTGGACGAAATATGCAGAAGGCATTTATATGCACGTTGGAGCAGGCCCGTGCCATAATCCTCGATAACATAATTCTTAAAAAAACGATTTTGTAACAGTATTAATTAATTATCCCAGTATATTGGAAACAAATTCATTGCAAAATCTACGAAACGGCAACTTCAGCGACAGTCATTTCTCTTTAAACCTTCGACATATATATACGTGCAGATATATTATGATCGTCGTTTCTGCTGTACAGGAAGGAGCAACAGCAGCACGCAACGTTGTTCTGAACCATGGCTCGGAAAATACATTGAACGTCCACAAATCGGGTGCAAAGACCCGACATTCTCTGAGCACGATGGATTTGAAGAAGGAGCATCTGTACAGAGCACATCAGGGTTAGTAGACATACACACGCACGCACTCATTCACTCATACACTCACGCACACACGCCGGCACGTCAAGATCTCCCGCGGGAAGGGAGCGGATAAACTCGCACTGTAAATAGTAAAGCAAATGCTAACTAAAACTTGGCGGATTTCGACTTTTCACCAAATTCGAAGCTTTAAAATTGCATCTTTAACAGTTTTATCTAGAAATTTGAATGTGTACAGATAAATCAGCCCAGTCGATCGTTTTCATAATTTACTGCGACTAGCACAGCGCTACATATAAAGAGTGACTGAAAATTAGTCAAATATCAATTATTAACAACCAGTACTAGACCAAAGATTGCACTTTAATCTAGTTGAGATAACTGATTGCCCGTTTGCAGCTATCAGATCTTCAAGAGCGACACCTGGCACTGAATGCTGTAAGAGACATAGCGTGACTGCAACTATGGACCTGCCAGGAGATGAGTCTGAGGTAGACACGAGTAGACAATTACTCATGATCGCACATCCGTATAGTCTACAAGTTTCTACAAGTTACCCATCGTTTTTTTATGACTAATGAAACGCTAAAATCTTATCCACAATCAAATAACGTGTCACAAGCGCGGCTCTATATCTCAAGTTTTATTGTTTTTATAACTTGTTACACGTTTAATTGCAGGTGGGTTCTAAGTCCATCTTCGCCGAGGCACTCTGGGATCATGTTACGATGGATCCGGATGAACTTCCGTTTCGTGTTGGGGAGGTCATCGAGGTCATCGACAATGAAGACAGCGACTGGTGGTGGGGCGTGAACGGGGAGACGGAGGGATGGTTTCCTGCAAGCTTTGTGCGGGTGCGTTGACTACATTTCACTAGATTTCCCTCCAATATTATAGACTTTTTCTCAGTATTTTAATGGCTATTTCTTCGTGTGAAATTCACTTAATTCCCTAAATTGATAGTTTTGAAACCTTTTTTTAGAAAATTTTAGGAGAAGTAATTAGAATAAAGTTGGGGTTACTATAGAAACAACTGGTTGACGAGGATCGCAACGCATGTCACATTGCGATTGCAGCTTGTTATACTAGATTCATAGTTACGTTCTGACTTTCTAAGGTAAAATTCATATGCTAACACTGTATACACCGTACATCCGCAGGTTCGAGTAAACCAAGAGGAAACGATGGAGGATAGCTTGGAGAATCTCTCGCAGGGAAGCGACGACGATGACAAGCTTTATAGGAACAGCCACGGGGCTAACCGCATGAGCAAAGACGAGGTGCGAGCGAAGGTCATCGAGGAGATAATCAACACGGAGAGAGACTTTGTGGGGCTGCTCAAGAATCTCTGCCACGTAAGTATAGATATATAAATCTCTCCCTGTGTGTCTGACTGTCTGTCTGTCTGTCTGTTTGTCCGCCCGCCCGTCCGTCCGCCCGACTGCCTACCTGCCTGCCTGCCTGCCTGTTTATCTGTCTGTAGTTCTCATTCTCTTTCTCTCTCGCTCTCTCGTTCAACCTCCTCTTATTCTCTCCTCTTTGGGTCACCCTTACTCACACCCATACACACACTCACTCACTCACGCACGCACGCACGCGCGCGCGCGCGCACGCACGCGCACGCGCACACGCACACTCACGCACGCACGCACGCGCACGCGCACACGTACACGCACACGCACACGCGCACGCACGCACGCACGCACGCACGCACACACACACGCGCGCGCGCGCGGTCGGACAGATAGATCTGCCATCTTTGTCGCAATGTCTTACTCTCGCACCTCTCCCCTTGCCCATTATTAATAGTTGCGTATAGCACTCATCTGTCGTCCATATTTGTTGATATAGATTTAAGATTATCCGTGCTTTACTAGGGGTTCCTTCATCCGGCCAAGCAACGACCTGACATGTTCAGCAGAGAGATGATCTCCATTATCTTCAGCAATATCGAGGAGATCTACAAGTTCCAGACGCAGTTCATGTCCGACCTGGAGCGTAATGTTGACCTCACACGTCTGCACGTGAGCAGTATCGGAGGATGCTTCCTGCGACAGGTACGGAAAAGCCCGCGTTTTTGTCTGTGTTGTCTGTGTTTGTGTGTTGTTGTGTTTGTTTGTCCATTGTTTTTGTTGTTGTTGTCTGTGTGTTTTCTTTGTCTGCAGATGTTTGTTTGTTGTGTTTTTGTTTGTTTGTTGTGTTTTTGTTTGTTTGTTGTGTTTTTGTTTGTTTGTTGTGTTGTTGTTGTTGTTGTTGTTGTTGTTGTTGTTGTTGTTGTTGTTGTTGTTGTTGTTGTTGTTGTTGTTGTTGTTGTTGTTGTATTTGTTGTTGGATTAACTATCTCTTTCTTTCTTTTTTATTGTTGTTTATTTATCTCGAAGAGGGTTGGGAGTTTTCTGAAGCAGGGGTACGTGCTAGTTAAGTACTGAGAAATTAAATATTTTACCTAAACAGAATTGCCAAGATATTGTAGATTAATTGATCACACAATATCTTAGACACTGAATGGATGTGGCACAAGACATCCTTCTTTTGATGTCCATATTCATGCAGACGGACTTTTGTTTTAACAGAGGCAGGGTTTCGAAATATATTCCGAGTATTGCAACAACCATCCGCAGACCACCGTAGAACTCTGCAACCTGACCCAAGAAAAGCAGTACAGACACTTCTTCGAGGTACTAACAGCGCAGTAACACTCAGTAAAACGTATATGTACATAAAATTAATAGGAGCGAATCCATGCGTCTCTCTTTCTTTCTCTCTCTCTCTCTCTCTCTCTCTCTCCCTTTTCTCTATCTATCTATCCTCACTATCTATTCTATCTATCTATCTATCTAATCTATCTATCTATCTATCTATCTATCTATATTAATATATATATATATATATATATATATATATATAATAGTATATATATATATATAGGGACATATGTGTAGAAGAGGCCTGGACAGCCTCTACGGGGCACAGCTCGACTGAGCTACCCCACGTAGATTTAGCTTGATGGTCTGTTGTTGCCATTATAAATGTATATATAAAAAAGTTTCGTTTAAGAAATTGCTACACGAAGTTAGCAATGAACTAGTGAGAATCACGGTTAAAACCCAAACCAAAAGCAGTGAACACATACCTAAGAATTTCCTTTATTATGGAATACAACGCCAGCAACCCACAGATCAAACAGATCATCCAAAAACACTGGCACGTTCTCTCAGCTTCACCGGCCCTGAACCACATCCACGACCATCCGCCATTCTTCGCCCTAAGCAGAGGTAAGAATTTGAAGGACGCGCTCATACGCGCAAGAATATCCCCGCCGCACCCTCGCCCTCAGCTCACCCACGCCCATGGTCGCACCTCAACGCCAGGCACACGCCCCTGCAGGCGTACGCGCTGCTCCACGTGCAGCACGGTCAACTCACACACGGTCTTACCCTTCCCTCCCCCCCCTCCGGAAATACATCACGCACTCCTTCACATGCATCTCCACGAACCTCATCTACGAAATCTCCTGTCGCAAATGCCCCGCGGCCAGATACATAGGCGAGACACAGCGTAAACTCAAAGATCGCATAGTTGAACACCTCCGTGACATTACCAAACGAGACATGAGCATACCCGTCAGTGCTCATTTTACACGCGACAACCACACCGCAGCGGATTTTCAGTGCAGGGGCATTGAAAAAATATTCTCGGACCCCCCTGAACATCCACACACGATTCGCATCAGAAAGAAAAGAGAAGCCTATTGAATCCACAATCTAAACACCATCCAACCATACGGACTCAACCTACGGGTCGATATACCGGGATGGATAGAAGACTATCACAATAACCCTGCTAGCATGGAATCAACGTGAGGCTATCCCTAGCCAGACGACCCCAGGGTAGCGAGCAGTTCGATTCATCCTTTCTCTCGTCGCTCTATCTCTTTATCTCACGCGCTTTCAGTTCTTCCTTTTCTATCTATCTCGGTGCTCATCTCCTCCTTCTCTATTAATCTCATACGTGTTCGCCCTCAGTGTTCCGTAACTGTCCGTGCATGCACTCCCGCGCCCGTGCGCGTGAGCGCGTGTATGCGCACGTATGTCTCTCTATACCTCGCTCATCCCTTGTTTTCCCTACGGCGCTTCTCTCTTCTTGCTGGCTACATTTAATTCCAACTGTGCTAATCGTATATATCTTTACTCCGCAGGGATGCCGACTGATGCAAAATATGATTAATATCTCACTGGACGGCTTTTTGCTGACTCCTGTTCAACGGATATGCAAGTACCCACTACAACTGGCTGAACTGCTCAAACACACCCGTCCGGACCATCCAGATTACAACGTATGGTTATAACACCAGTTTGACAACTAGCCGTTATTGATAACTAATAAGCTTATTACGCACATATGCGTTCTAAATATGTTAAGTATACGCGCTGATATTAAAGTAAAGCCATTGTATTAACCAATCGACGACAAAGAAAATTTTATTTATATCTAGGCTCTAGGTACTTATTACCCCTTCGTATCTCTGTAAACGTCTGATGTTCACGTTTCTTCGCAATAAAATATTTATGCTTGCATGATAGCGAACTCATAAAGCACTTAGGATGTAACACCAGGCCGATTCTCACCTAGGTTTCGTCGCAATAAACTGCCAGGAGTAGGTGCTGTAGTGAATAACGAAACAGAACAAAGATTATATCAACCATACGTATAGAAACACATTTTCCGTCTCGTGTGCAGGATGTTAAGTTAGCGTTGGCAGCCATGTTGGATGTTGCTACACTCATCAACGAATGCAAGCGCAAGAAGGAGAGTCTAGAGAAGTTGGCAATATGGCAATTACAAGTCATAGACTGGCAGGTAAACAGATTGATGCCCTCCTGTATCGTAATGGCGAAGTTTCAAAATAACACGTGCGTTTTCATGCAGCGCTCTGTATCTCCGTTTTTAATGACAGAATAATTCTATCCCTACTTGCCGTCTGCGCGAATAACTAAGCATTTTCTTGCACATCACAATAAATAAAAAGCCCGCCTAGGGAAAACAACAATGAAATTGTTTAGTGATTACAGCACTGATTATAACCAAGCATATTATTGTATCGTTTACGTAATATATAGGGGCCACCCTTGTTGGACCAGAGTTGCCTGTTGATATATTCCGGAGAAGTTACGAGAGTGTCGTCGAAGTGGGACAAGGAATGTAACATATTCCTGTTCGATCACCAAATGGTGATTTGCCGCAAGGTACCTAAGCTTTCTCTTCGCAAAATATGAATATACATAATCGGGGAACGACGACACGCGATTTTTAATCCCGTCTCATATAACAATGTCGGTATACAAGGAAACATTAGTAAATCAATATAGACATCCTGTAAGCAATGGAATGTTGCCTGGTAGCTCTAAGAAAAGGCAATGTATGTCACGATCCGTAGACACGTCATACATAAAATTTAGTCTTACGACCAAGTCGTGCTAGTAACCTGGTAGAAGGATACGAATAACGGTATATAGCCCGTGTAAACGCATCGTTTTCCGACCCCACTATATATTTTATAATATTGTTTGCGGCGCTGTACGACAGGAGCTATTAAAGAAAGGGACATACACGTACAAAACCCGATTGGGTATGAACTTCTCTGACATCATTGACGTTGACGATGGCAGAGACATACAGTATAACGCAACCGTGCACAATGCCTGGAAAGTCTACTCACAGAGTCAGGACAAATGGTAATTATCCGCTTTGGCGGTTTCCCAATTGTAAATTTCCCTAAATTTGTAAAATGTAAATTTGTAAATTGTAAATTGTAAATTTGTAAATTGTAAATTTGTAAATTGTAAATTTGTAAATTGTATTTTGTCCCGTAAATAAAAATACGCGTGACACAACACCTCAATCACGTTGTTTAAAAAGCCTACAGGTCTAAATGGCAACTGCACATATTTCCGATTCCGATAAAATCGTAATATTAATAGTGAATAAAAACTTATTTAATCCTTGTAATATATATATATATAGCTCAATATGCTTAGCTATGGGTTTTTCTTACCGATCAGAATTCCACTCACAGCAGCTCCTGTAAACATCACATGTGGCACTCAGCCTAACTAATTAAGCATATATATAATATAGAGGCGGCCGTTAGCAACACATCTTAACCATGCAGTATGCAGTTAGATAGTAGATGTGGTTAGATATCCTTATGCATTCGCGTTTCAGGTACTTGTTCTATGTGAAGACGCCGTCCGAGAAGAAACGCTGGATGGCGGCGTTTGCGGAGGAGCGGGAGTCTGTGCGAAAGGAACAGGAGAAGGGCGGGTCAGCAAGCCGCGAGGAGAGAGACGCCGCCATGGTGGTAGCTAGTAAAGAGCTATCATTAAAAACAGCGGGTATTCACCTTTCCACTTCGTTTAATACCCTCTCGTTCTCTCTCTCTCTCTCCCTCTCTCTCTCTCTCTCTCTCTCTCTCTCTCTCTCGCTCTGTCTCTCTCTCGCTCTCTCTCTCGCCTTCTGCTCTCGCTTCATCTCTCTCTCTCTCTCTCTCCCTCTCCACCTCTCCTTATCTCCTTCTCTCTCTCACACACTCTCCCTCACTCTCTCCTCTCGTTCTCACTTTCTCTCTTTCTATCTTTCTCTTTTCTCTCGTTCTATCTCTCTCTCTCTCTCTCTCTCTCTCTCTCTCTCTCTCTCTCTCTCTCTCTCTCTCTCTCTCTCTCTCTCTCTCTCTCTCTCTCTCTCTCTCTCTCTCTCTCTCTCGCGCGCTCTCCCTCACTCTCTCTGTCGCACTCTCCTCCTCTCTTGCTCGCTCGCTCTGTCTTGTGCACACTATCTCCCATTCTTGCTGATATTTGTCTACAATATCTTACTCTCTTGTTGCCACATCAAAATGAAAACTAGTGTAAATACTCTTTCGCAAATATTGAGTACAAAGTTTCGCGTAATGTTTCCTATCTGAAGTAGGCAATAAAGTACATAACTTAGACATAACTAAAATTTACGCCTCTAATCAGTTATGTAACGTCCCACAGCTACAATACAATTCGCGTCTAACAATAACGTTTTTTAGTCCAAATTACACATTCCTGTTTACGTTTTTCAGACGTAGTGCGCAAGACATCTAATGCAGGACGCAGGCGGCCATGGAGAAAGTTCAAACTAAAGGGACCATAGTGGAGTTAGGAGCACTTAAAAATCAGAATTGATCTGATTAGTGTAAATAACTTTGACTAAAATGTTCGCTTCCTCTAAAAATCGTTTGATCTGTTTGCATATATTCATGTACGGCTAGAGCTGCTATATGACTGCGTTGGGATGTCCGTTATATCGAAGCACATTCCTTCACTCTAATACCGGTTACACACACACACACACACATATATATATAATATATATACTTATATATGGATCTGCTACTCCCACGCCCCGTATTGCATTATCAGGGAGTTAACACCATGTTGGGGCCAAACAATACACAAGTTAGCACGATAATGTGTTTACTACACTGTTACAAAAGTTGTTGTTATGCATACTTAAAGTTGCATGTGAGTATGCGGATATAAGATGAGACGAGATACACTGAATCCGTTTTAATTGCTGGTCATGTGGCCACCATATTGTAAACACTTTTCACACGGGGATACACGTATGCCTCTTATTTGTATTCGCTATTTGACTGTAATAAGTTAATAACATAACAAACTGTAACACAGATGGATGGTTACTAATAAAGAATGACATTTACTTCGATGACAAATAGATTACGTTACCGTTAAACAGAAGTTGATATAATGGGTGATACCTCTGTTTCGAGATGAATTCAGTAGAAATTTATATCAGCACACGTGTCATTTATTTACACGGACGTTTAAAAATACGTTTCTTCAGCAACGGCTGATAAATATTTATATGCGTATGAAAAGGCGAAAGTGTTATTGAACTGTTCTTTATTCCTGTTGTTGACGAACTAAAATAATCGTCTGCTTGTAAATGATAAAAGCACAGAATGATATATTTCGTACGTCATATGTACTGTATGAAACGTCAATTAAATAATTACACGTATTTAAACGTGTCTTTGTAAAATTAAACCCGTTGGTTATTGTGGTGCACGTGTGAAAGTAATGCTAATATTGCACACACAGTATGTAAGTAGAAATAACAAGGAAAATATTTAATAATTAATTTGTACATATGACAACTAATAATAAAAAATTATTTTTTTGTGGATGTGCTTAGACGTGTCTTCTATTACTTCCATATTGACATATCGTATCTACACTATAGCAGAATTAGGAGGGAATTAGGCCTCTTTCAGTTATTAAAGTGAAACATGAAAATATATATTTTTTGTAAGTATGTGCTTTCTACAGCGTATCATACAGCTAACCAAATCCTATTTCTATTTTGTTTGGCAATATACAAGCACATGTCATATACACATATGCACATATGTATGTGTCATATGCAAGCACAATTAAATCTTCCCCTATACTATAGTGTATAAAATTTCGTAAACATTTGGCGTCTTGTAATTATTAAACTAAAACACCGAAATTGATATCTTTTCAACCACTGAGAATATGTGTGCTCTGTCCGACCAACCGGAACTTTCCCGCAAAATGATGGCGAGCCGTTCACTAGAGCTTCAGATATTCAACGCTCGAAAATCTATATGGTGCGCGCGGCTTTTATAAATTTAGCCCTTACTGAAGTCGCTAACAAGTTTACCACGCTTCTAAGTTCTAACGACCGACGTCGCGACTCTGATGCAATACGGCGCTAGTTAGAATGTTAAACCGTTCGACCCACGTTACGTCATCAACTTCAATCTCATAAACGTCATCGGCACGTCACTTTACAAGAAAATGTTCGAACAAGTAGAACGGGCAGAATGGCCAGCCACGTTTGCTCACAGGTTATGATTTAGGAAGTGAGTGAGAGATTGTTTACTTGCAAGAGAAGAAGTAAACATGTGAACAGATAGACAGATAAATAGACAGATAGCTATAGAGAGAGAGAGAGAGAGAGAAGAGAGAAGGAGAGAGAGAAGAGAGAGAGAGAAGAGGAGAGAGAGAGAGAGAGAAGAGAGAGAGCGAGAGACGAGAGAGAGTCGGAGAGAGAGAGAGAGATGAGCGCGAGAGAGAGAGAAAGGGAGAGCGGGAGAGAGATTAGAAGAGAAAGACACGCACGCACGCACGCAACGCACGGCACGCACACAAACACACACACACACACACACACACACACATCACACACCACACAACACACACACACTAGAGATGGGACAGAGAAGAATTAAGAGAGGGACAGAGAGAGAAAGGGGGGGGGGAGACCCGCAGAGTAGTTCCTAAATAAGTGGATAAATGGAATAGAAGGAGTTCGTTAGACTACTCTCGATTGACACGCAAAGCACCTAACATGGTTCGTTACGTAATCGTCGAGCCGGCCAACGCATAATTATGACCCGATCTAGCAATATTGTGTAAAGTCACCCTAAATTAAAAATTTAGTTATTCAATAACTCATAGCACTACAAAGAGGGGACTGCAAGCTTAAAATGATTTCCAAACATGTTTCATTATGTTGAAGGTCTTCGATTTATGCACATTTGAGTTTAGTATTATGCAACAAGCCAACCAACAAACCGTGCCAGACAAAACGGGCGAATGAATGTGATGAAAACCTGTTCCATATATAAGTGCCTATATCAACGATAGGGGTTACACTCGTTTGATTGAAACCTAACTTGGCCAGAACACTCAATAGTACTGGTTTTGACAAAAGGTCATTGTAGGAGTACATGATTTTTATGATTGAAAGTTAAACTGTAAACTATCACTGCATGCAGAATTTCTGATTGTATGCTCAACATTTCACAGCTCTCCTAGTATTTCTTTATACATGTTATGGTTAAAATCACGTGTTACTTGAACTTACAGTAAAGAATCTTGCGATGTTTCACGGCAAACTCTATTCCCCATTGACACTGCAGTTAATCCGTCCGCCAGTATGTGAAATACTGACATAGCGCCAGCGCACAAACGTCACTATTTCACATACGCAGCGTAGAATTAACTATGTAAGAACTGTTACGTATCTCGGAGCTGTACGTCACTATTCTACGTTGCGTTTGCCAATCTATGTGAACATTCTACATATATGATTCTACGTTTGCGTTGTCAGTCGGTCCTTTGCTTTGGTGACGACGTTCTTTTTATGCATTTTTCTTCTAGGGATCGTTGAAGTGGGTCATTGCGAAACATGCAACTGATACATTCCAAGAAGAATCAAATCGTTCTCAAAATTCAACCAACGACAAAATATTAGTTCAGTTATCAGGCTGATGAACGAAAATCCTCAACTGAAGGCAGTGTTATAACACGGCTGTCATTGATTGATTTTTCTATAGTTTCACAACACTAGATCGCTTACGTTGTAAATTCAATGTCCTTGTCCGTCGGAGATTTTTTATTTTTCAGTAGCGACGAGGCTGAAGCGTGTAGGCATTGGGTGACAAAGCTGTTAAACCTCCGATCCATTAACAGAGCAGGCGAGGCTGCATGCCATCATCTTAATTCTTTCATGCAGTGTTATCTCCGCTATATCGCTTGCTACAGCTGCGGGCTGTTGTTTCTAGGTTTTCTGGGCTCGGCTCTTCAAAAGCTTACTATCATGTCCCTCAACCTCATCATTATCGCGCGTCGAATTCATCGGGACAGGAGCTAAATATAATAATAATAATAATAATAATAATAATAATAATAATAATAACAACGTAGCTTCACCAAAGAAATCATTTTCAAGATTAGACTAGTTCTCATCACTCACTGCTGATCTCAAGTTGCAGATCGTCATATTATTTAAAATCCTAGCAATTTTCTCCTCTCGAGTCTCGACAGAGACATCACTAAAAATTCAAGATAATTTCACCATGCGTCTGCTAACTTAGGGCGCAGCCATTCAAATTTTACCACAATGTACTGCGCGCGCTGCGTGGGGTCGTCGGTGATTAGTCAATCAGCGAGGTGTCAGACCATATATAGATACCTAATATAGATACTAATACTATAATCTATAGATACTATGTATAGATGCTAATATAGATACTAATGGATACGATACTAATACATACTATAGATACTGATGGATATCATACTAATACTATTGATACTAATATAGATACTATAATAATATAATTATTTATAGGTGATATTGATCAGTGGGTTAGACCCCATCCTATTACTATTAGCAACAACAGTCGGTTTTACAGTTGCAAGTTAGGTAATATTATTCATTGCCAAATAAGGAAAGAGGAAATCCCAACGTTTATTTTGATGTGCATATCATGAGGGTTCCCCGAGTACAAGCGGTTTGAAAACGGAGTTAATTTCGGCATTGTCTCTCATAGGAAATTCTATGCAGGTTTGAGGAATAGGGTCTACAAAATGTTAAATTTTAACATTATATCGATCACTGTGGACTTCGAGACTCCGGGAACTGAAACTTGAGTATGTTCTTATTCACGCATGTGCGTGCTTGCGTGCGTGCGTGCGTACGTGCGTGCCTACGCGCGCATTGTGAGGCGGAAGAGTTGTTCAACACGAAACACCGGATATATGTAGTAAAATAATCCACTTTATTTGCATCACTATAATCATCTCTCAGAATCAAAATAATTTACGAACAACTGCGTCCACAGCAGTTCGATGAACGTAAGCAAAATCGATCTGCTGTACACATTTTTAAAAATATCTCAATTATTATAAACATATATATTATAAAATTACACATTTCACTGATTTTCCCCCATCGCATAGATATCTCATCACGTAAAAAACGATCATGCCAACCACATATAGTTCTCGTTGTTTGGAATGTGCGCCCCGGAACCATGATGTCATAAGAGTGAAATAACAGCAGTGCTTTGTTTCGATTCACTCCGGCTCCTATGCATATGTCAGCTCTCACCGAGACGTTACATATAAGATATACAACTATAACCACTTACTCCCCGTTACATCAATACATGTCCACATCACACAATGGATCTCAAACGGACATCAAGTTTATACCGTAAAAGACTGCCGCTGCATAGATTAGTGGAGCCGAGTAGCTGACCCACAAGGAAGTGCTATTCCGAGTCACTAGTCGACATGCAGAAGACTGACTCACGCTCTCACGCACCTGCCTTTACAGGTAATTGCATAACAGATGATGACATAAATATTGCGTGACTTTAGTCATGAGGTAATGGGTGTGCTCAGTGATGACGATTACTGAAATTGCTATTTCCACTTTCTACACAGACGTCAGACAACACACTGACATGCAATATGTAAAGATAGGCTCACCTCTCTAAAAACGGTTGCACTGGTACCTACCTACCTACCTACCTACCTACCTGCCTACCTGCACTACCCATGTGTAACATGAAACACAATGTGCATTCATTTTTAACATACATGCATGAGATATATACCATCAAAGTATGTGACTAATTTTCTTGGTGGAAACAAGGCCATGTAAAATTGCAAAAGGTCATGCGCCACCAATTTCACGAGCAGGCGTTCACCTGGAAATCCCTAGTGCTGTTACTTCACAAACAATCAAGACTGGGTCTATACAGCATCAATAAAATACGAGTTGCAACAATATCTCGCTAATAATTTTCTAGCATTCCCTCCCTCAATTATTGTATTTAAGTAGACATTGCAAAACAGACTTCAGTATGAAGATTAGGAACCATATGATTCTGTTTAAGTGGCATGCACATTGAACATGTTCTTTTCATAAACTACACCCAATGAATTCTACACTCTCACTCAAGAGGCCAGGCAGTCACAATCTTTAACATTATAACAAGTGTACAAACCATAGGCTGAAAGAGGGGATAACAATCATTTTACACTTTTAGATATTACTTTAGACCCCAACTCTAAATCCGAAGAAATCTACATTTAATCGTGTTCACTCCCAGATGGAAGGTGGGACGGGTCACGAAAAGGAGTAGGGTCCGTACACTTGTGATAACGTTGACACTTGTGATAATGTTAGCAATTGTGATAATGTTGACAATTGTGTACGAAACTTTACAAACATGAAGCTGTGAAACGATTACATTCTGAATGAAAACGAGTCCCTATGCTGCACCACTACGCCACAGCAACTATGAATGAACTCTATTTCTTCCTCTAGTTATATGAAGCCAAGTAGTTCTAGCATCCTCCACAGCACTACAGAATCCCGTGGCCCATGGCAGACAACCGATCTAGCTTCTCTGAACATGCGATAGGTAGCGCCACCCTACAGGGATGTAGTCAGCTGGTTATTCCGCCTGGTCGTCTCTGGTTCGATGGGCATCATCTCCACATGACGGTACTGCTGAGACTGAATGTCCGGTGCGATAACACTGCTCCTCGGCGCCTTCTTGCTTACCTTAGCAGAAAAATGAGCACATAACTAATCATCCCACACACACACACACGCACGCATACACGCACGCACGCACACACACAAACAAACACGCACACAAGCACACTGTGAGAAATTCTGCAGCTGCTGTACACACCAGGGCTCTCCGAGCTTTTTCATTATAGCATGGCGGGTGCTGCCTTTACGGTCGTAGTTGCAAATCGCTGAAGGCGGTTTG